CACCAACTCACCGGACGCGATTCAAACTGACTTTTATTTTTGAATTTTTAAACAATTCCTAGTGCTTTTTAGAAGGTGGGGCTATCAAAAAAAAAATATCCTTGCCATTGACCTGAAAATATGGGCGCTCTTCTGTTACTCCTAAAATCCTAGATAAATATACAAAGTTTGATCCCTGGTCTGAAACAAAATGGCAAGGTATGAGACCTATGTTTTGTATTTGGATGGCTCTCAATATATATTTTGGCATATCCCTTTACAGGATCCATGGACAATGAAATAAGAGAGTGGGTGTGACCAAGGCATTCCACCATACCTTGAACCATAAAGTCATTGCGCTATTACCTATTCGGACGTGCGATTTTCATCGCCGTAATCTTCTACTCCTATAATTTATCGTATTAGGGACGTATTGCCACTGGCTCTTAAGTGACTTTCGTCACAAATCGACACGAACTTCTGACCTGCGTGAAACCCCGGTTCTAACTCTAACACACTTAAAGAACTATTACTACAACCGGGGTCTCGGGCATTCGGCGAACTCGTCAAGAGTTCTCTCTTCGGAAATCTAAGAAGAGGCTTTGGTGTCTATATGCTAAAGGTGAAAAATATACACTCTAAGCCAAAGTTTTGAAGTAATTGTCGTATCTACGACCTTTGGTTGACGCTAAATTTACTAAACTATTTTTATATATACTATTTATTTGAGGAGAAAATTTCTACCTAAAATATCCTCACACACTATAACCCTCTCTCCATTTTAATTTCTCTAAAATTTATTTTCTTTGACATTTTCTTTCATTTGAAATTTTAAATAACTAATCCTGATCTTTTCTTCTAATTTAACCCTCAAATTTGCGTTTTCCTCCATTAACTTTTCAATTTTTCTCAAAGGATGTCAAGCTAAAACTAGTTTGACATCCTTTTCTAATATAATATCGCCCATGGAAATATTTTCCAAAACTCCTATTTCCTGTGGTTGTGCGTCTTCGGCTACAGACGCTAGTAATAATAGGTCGCCCGAACCTGAGGGGTTCTCGACCATTAGGTTAAAATCTAATATGCCCTAATTTAATAGTCGAATTAGCTCCACAAATTCTAACTGAAAACTGGGTGTAGGAGGTAAATTTAAGTTCGGACCGCAGTTGGTGACAGTCTCTTCAAATATTTCACTTCATCAGAGAAGTGACGGTCACAGCATACAAATATTTTGATTGGTATCTCCTACACCAGTCGTTGCGTCAAAGTGTATACCTAAATGCAAACAAATATACTAAACCTTAATAACTTTACTTATAACTATATTTGAAAATAAAATCTACTAAATAAAACTAATATTGCAACATTTATTAGTATTTACGATATACTTCTACTCACGTTTCATTTATTTACAATTATATTTTTATAATTAAAGTACTATTTACATCTACGCTACCAAAACAATATATTACATTGAATTCATTAAATATTAATATTCTATTTTCTAAATTATATTACAAATAAGCAAGTATCTTGCTATATTTATTTTACGTACTAAATTGCATGTAAATATTTTTAACACATGGAACACTTTAATAATAAATCACTTCTAATTTTAGGAAAATCATTATATTTTCTACTTACTTATTAAAATAATTTACGAACCTGGATCCTTCCTTCTCCTTGTTGGGAAAATTGAAAAACCGTCGCGCTCCTACGCACCCAGCCACACACCGATGTTTGCATTTAGGCATTTTCCTATAATTTGTTAGGAAAACGTTATATTATTTAGGGTACATATATTTGCTACGGCTTTAATAACTTACTTACCAATTTTATTTTATATATAAACACTTATACAAATATTTTTAATTAATAATATCCCATTCACTATTGCTGCTTCAGCATTAAAATTACTTACGAAAAATAATGAACTGATTTTGTCAGTTAATTTTAACGGGATTTTATCTGGCAGTTCATTGTTTTGGTTGTCATCTGTTCAGTAGCTCATGAGCTCGTGGTTTTTTTTTGGCAGCACTGAAAGTGCATGAGCGCTCTCGAAAGGCAAAGAGAGGAGTTTCGGATCATTTTATCTATGCCGGAAGCGACTGTGTCAGTGAAGACTTGTCCTGCAAGTTTGACACAAATTTTTTGAAAATTATAAAATATGTGCATCTGAAAGTTTCGGTGTAGGATTTGTGAATCTTTTTAATAAAAGTGCACCATATCGGACCACCTTATCGGACGAGACTTGAAATTTACTTTATTTTTAGGATTTTCGAGACAATTTCTTGTATTTTTCAAAAGGTAGGGGCAGTCATTGAAAAAAAATACATTCTTGCTATTTACTTCAATGTATGGGTGTTCTCCTGAAACACCTGGACAATAAAATATGATAGGGGGTGAGACCACGGTGCTCCACCAATACCTT